TTCTAAATCAAACACCTGAAATTACCCATCCCCTCATGGGCAAAAGTCCACCCAAAAAGGATGGGTCCAAAGCAAGGCCTGAAAGCCGCCACAAGCCTAAAGCACCTTCTGGCCGGGACCCATATAGAGAAGGGTCAGAAATGGCCAGACAAATCCGGGAGGAAAAGAGCAAAATCAAAATCAGTATTAACACTGCCATTGTCAACCTCCCTACGGGTTCTCACCCACACCTCTTTCAGCTAGTCCAGGTTCGAGAAACAAACGCGGTTTCTTCACATGTCCGCCTTTGCTCCATGTGGCTCCCTCAGGTCTCCTGGCTCTCCATCCTGATTCCTTCTTCAGACTCCTCTCCTCTTCCTTTCTCTGCTCAGCTCCATCTGCCGGAGACTCTTTGTCCCCAATCACGGATTATTGGGGGGCAGAACAGGCAGGGACTCAAGGTGGGAGTGGCGTTGGTAAGCGGAGATTCCTAGAAAAGGGGGGAAAGGGGAAAAAGGAGGGGCAGGCATGAGGAAGACACGAGAATCGGAGCTGGGTGCAAGTCTTCCTGCTCTGCCTTCAGCAGGTTTATTTTAAACATTTCAAGCAGGCAGAGGGATGACATTAGCATATGAAATGGGCTGAGATCACAATCACCTTTTTTCTAAGAGTAGTCTGGGTCATTTTGACTTTTAGTTGAGATTATAACATTTTAAAACCAATCTATCAAGGTTAAAACAGGTACATAGATTCACAAAGTTTAAGACTAATATTACTATATTTACCACAGTGAAGATTAACCAAAATAAAGTCCCTTAAACCTTATCTACTACTTAACGGCTTTCATTCTCACTGAGACATGCTAGGGGGTAAAATAAAGTGAGGGCAGGAAGAGGAAATTTGTTGTAAATCAAATTACAATAAAGTTCTTTGAAAACTTGTTAGAAAGTTTAAGTGATTTTCCTTGAAGGCTAGACAGTAGAAAACCTGCTTAGCTCTGAATAGGTGACTTGGGTGAATTTCCATATCTAAAGACAAGACAGTAGAAAGTTTAAGTGGTTATTTAGAAACTGAATAGAAGGCTCTGTGAGATAGAGAGATGAGATTTAGGATTTTTTTCCTCCCGGCAGTAAAAGAGTACCTTTCAGTATTGCCTCAATATTGACTTTGCAGTAACAGCCAATTTTTTTTATCAACCAGCCAATTGTAAGATTACTTTTAACTTCAAGAGGAATTTCTCACCGTGGTGCAGTGGTTGCTTGTCAGGGCCAGGTAGCGCCTTATGAGGCTAAGGCAATCCAATTGTAAACTGAAGGTTGCTCAGAATATTTTGATATTATGATTAAACAATAAAGGGAGGTCATAACATAAGTTAGCATGGAACATCTGATTTTTCAGAGCATTTCCCCTCCATCCAGTATCGTGTTTGTCAATAGAGGTTGAATAGTTTGTGTCATCCACCCTCCTGGGTGGAGCAAAGAACCTGGAACTTCCCCTTTTCCTGGGGAGCACCCCGTTAAAATTCCTCCATTAATAAGATTCTTTTGTGGTTCTGTAATGGGGTGGTCCCTAGGAAAAAGGGAAGTTCCAGGTTCCCTGCCCCACACAGAAGGAGGGTGGAGCTGAGCAGAGAAAAAGGAGAGAAGAGAATAGAGAAGAGAATGAAGGGGGATGGAGAAGGAGGAGACCTAAGGAAGCCACATGGAGCAGCAAGCATGTGGTGAAGAAACCGGGCTTGTTTCCTGACCCTGGACTGGTTAAGGCAGATGTGGGTGAGAGACCTGCAGGGAGGTGACTATGGCAGTGTTTATATTGA